CATGGTCATGTGGCACTTTTCTAACGCATATCCACCGATACCGCGGATCAAGATGCCTTTATTTCTATTATCGATCTGTGGCGTAGATGTTAGCCTGGAGGGTGCAGAGGAGGCACGATACAGTTTGGTTCTCGGTGGCTTTTTGCAATCTTGTTCAAAACGTTGCTGGAGACTAAGTGGATCATCTGGCTTGCCAAGGGCGCTACCAACTCTTGAAGTGGCCAGAAATTATGTCGCGGTGTTCGCAAGCTTTGTGTGGTGGATGAGCAGAGTTATATGCCTGGCTTTCCATCACTATTTTGTCAAGAACTTTCTTTATTGCTTTCGAGATAGTGCCATCTGATGAGATAGATTCTACTTCGATGAACGTTTCTGCCTCCATCTCCGTTTTAAACCGAAAGCATATATGACAGCAATGGTCCTGCTGGCTCATATCGTGTAATTGAACAAATGTTCATTGGCTGGATGCAGTCCGAAATTAATCTCGATCAAGTTGAAAGCAAAGTTCCATCCGTTGGATCTAAGTTGCATGTTACACTGAAACCCACCAGTCAAACAGGCACAGAAGTGCAGTTTGAACACCCACACCACGTACTCTTAGAGTTGAAATCTACTGATGCATACAGCAGAGGTTGGTCAGGGCCCAAACTCGTTAACATAGCCTATAAATACTGTGCACCATCATCTAGTAGGTCAAAGTGTCTCGCCAAACAACACAAGCTAGCTTGGCAAAAGCCGTACGGGGGCGAAAATGTCGCTGTCTCTGACTGACGGAAAACCTGCTCCTGTCATTGCTAGAGTGTAGGATGCTAACAACTTTCAGCAAGTCAGTAACACTCCAGGTGATAGCGGCCAAAAAAGACATCCCTTTGTAATTTGAAAACTAAGTGAATCAGTTTCTTGTGGGTCTTACTCGAAGGAAAGAGACTGGTGGTAAAACACTTGGTTAAATCAAATTTAGGCTTCTGCATCTTCCCTTCATCTACCGCCAACCCAACATTCGGAAATTGAGCTTAGCTTTGAGACCCGTGGTGCCATTGGTTATTTTATCCTGTCACGAGTTAGCCAAGTTGTCGGCAAAACCTTTGGAGCCTGTCTGGAGCAAATCGATGATCTACACTGCAAAATATGCACCAACTTTTCTGCAAAGTGGATCATGTTGATGAATCAGATAAATTCGTGGTGTCGCATGACGCGACCCTCTTATTTGCAAGCACACCAGTAAGTAAGACCACCGATGCAGTTTTTAGCTGGATGATCTACTACACCTGACCGAAATCAAGATGAAGCTGCTACTACTACCGCCCCAGACCTGCCACCACTTTTGCCGAAAGATTGATGAAGTGAGAACAAGTCTACTTCCAAGACCATTCCTGGCCGATGTCTCCCCGGGTTATCCTGAAAAGGCGCTGCTGAGGTCATCTATCGTTGGGAAAACGTTCTGCCACAGGTGCCGTGGTGGTGCTTTTTATGCTTGCAGTCATATGAGCCACGCAGCCTGGTTGTTTGGTAGGCTCAGTTAGATTCACCATAACATTGGATTAGCGATGGATTGGACGGCAGTATGCAAGGAAGAAATGCCAGTTTTGACAAATACTATTAGTCCAGAGGATAAATTAACTAAATGAACTCGCTGATACCTGGACTGCAGCCGCCTTCAGCCTGCCGGCCGTCAGCGCTTACCAGTTATACCACTTTACGGCCAAATAAGAAACCTACGCTGTGTGGGAAAATTAGTGGAAAAGTCTAACTTGATTTTAAATTGTTTGAGTCAGGGTGGGTATCCCAAGGGAGAAACTATGGAACAAGAAAGACAGGTTAAAAGTACTCAAGACCAAACTTTGAAATAAAGGTTTTGTGTCCAAGAGAGAGGCAATATTTAGAGGACCGGGCATGAGAATCGAAAGGGCAAAGCCTTCGTGATTTCAAACTTGTACCAGCATACGGTACGACATGCTTACTGAGACAGTCCAAAGTTTAATAATATTCCACACATGCCACCTCCAAACTCGCTTCTGAATGGGCATTCACCTGCGGTAGTAAGTGCCCAGGAAGGACTGAGGTAGGGACATCTCCAATAGGTCTGCGGAGCCCACTAAAGAAAACCTACGCCTGAAATGCAGCGGGATTCCCTTAGATGTGGATAAACGATACCTCACAGATGCAGGGCTCAAAGGCATAACTTCTGATGCCCGTAAAGTGATAATTGTACAGAAAATGTCCACAGCACAACGCTCTGTGTGAGCCATCGCTATAAAGCGCTCCCAGTTAGGACTCTGAGCACTGGGGAAACTGTGATTAATCTTTCGTTTCTGTGGTAACAGTCATTCAGCTTCGCATCATTTGAATCGCATGATTCCTTGTTTTAATCACCAATTAATTTGCACTCGCTGAGTCTATCTCCATCTTCTGAATGTCATTTCCTTGTGTTACAAATCCTCTCATCTAGTATAAACGGCTTCTCTTCCCTCATATCCTCCACACTCCCGTACATGTGAACTTTATTTTAGGTAGCATGTAAGTCGGAAATGACTTTCACGTGCAAACAACTGTTTTTGGCACTTGAGTACCTTGAGTTTCCTAGTTTTACATTAACTCCTATGTTATCATGCAGTAGTGTATGTAATTATGCAGTTTCTTCCCGGAAACCATTGTAGTCTTGCATTGCAAACGGCTGGTGAAACCCCTGAAATAATGTGGAACAGTCTGTTTTGAGAGCCCAATCCTCCTTACTTCTCAATTTTTCAGTCTTTCTGGGTAGTGTGCTTTAGTCGCGCACCTTCATCTAATGTGACATGTATTGAAAACTGCGAAAGGAGGCAGAGTCACTTACTAAATGTTCCCCTGTGCGGAATGCCATTTCATGTGCGTAGAGAATGGATACAAGTTTCCACTAGGGAGATCACCGGGATGCGATGACATACGGCTAGCTTTATTGAAACAGTGCGCGGGTGCTGTATCCGGTCCGCTCCGCAATCCGTTTCAACACTCCTTAGCCGATCATGTGCTTCCAAGAGAGTGGAAACGTGGTGTTCTATCTTCCATCTTCATAGGAAGAGACAGGCAGAACCCGAAATGCTATCGGCCCATAACTTCCTACCGGCGGTGTCAAAAGTAATGGAGAGCCTAGTAGATGACCATGTCGGGGAGCATTTTGAAAAGAAGAGAGCACTGAGTGATGCTCAACATGGTTTCAGAGAGGGTAGGCCATGTGGCTTAAAGATTCCGGGGGCAGATGATAAGTGGACTGCATGCTCAGACCTCCAAGTTCCTCTTCACGTTGTTTTCCTGGATTTTGCTAGGGTCTTTGACACAGTCCCGCACACCATCCCCATTCGCAAAATATCAAGGTTGAGTATCAAGAGTCAAGTGTTCTCCTGGCTGCAGGACTGTTTAGACGGCAGAGAATTCTGCACAAAAGCCAACAGGGTTTGCACGGCTTGGAGTAGATCATCATCTGGGATTCTGGGTCCACTGCTATTCCTTCTTTTTGTGGGTGCCCTTCCATTGAATCACAGTCCCCAATTCTACTTTACGCCGACCATGTTAAGTTATAGAGAGCTGCAGCATTTGAAGCAGAATGAAGTGCACTGCAAAGGGGTCTCAGATTGCTTAGTAACGGACCAGAATTCAATCTGGATGAGTGCCGAACCGTATTTTTCCGCATCCCTGACTTTCAGAAAGTACCCTGTTCTCTGTGGGGAATGCAGCTTTCCCACCGCACCATGAATAAGACCTAGGACTAACACTCACCGACAAGTAAGAAACTAGTTTCAAGTGTCCAGAAGATGACCCCGTAGCCTACGTAGTACTACACTTCATGGGTAGGCAACTAGGTGCCCTCTCTCCAGAACCCTTCCTGGAGCTGTATGAGACCTGCGTACGACCTCACTTGGAGGTCCACAACGTCATTGCACCACCGCACCTGAAAAGAGGTGTTAACCCTCCCTTGGAAATTCGATGGTGAGCAACAAAGGGTGTCGTAGGAATGGGTCAAAAGCCCGATTGGGACAGATCGCAATACCTAGGACTGTACTCTCCTAGCTACCGTATTTTACGCGGTGACTTGATGATGGCTGATAAAATACTAAGTAATCCAAGCTATCCAAACAGTTAAATCCTTTTGAACGGCCACTGTGGCGATTCTCATGGTAACCAAGGGAGAATCGCTCACCAGGGGGAGAAAACCCGTGTGCGTTCACACTTCTCTCCGCCAGTTGGCGGCCACTGAAATGCATTGCCTGCAGAGATTGCCGTTGCTCCGTCTGTTGACAGCTTTAAGAAGAGGTTGGACAGTTATGTAGCGATGCACTCTTCGCGTTCATCCAGGTTGATTCAGACTACTAACGACCAACCCACTGTCGAATACTTTGTAACACCACTTCGCTGCCGATCTGGCTCAGCCTTATACTTCACTGTGGACGTCTCCTCCAGTTACCAACTTCTACTAATAGAACTATCATCTCCATTCCTGCTGACCATCTTATGATGTCATTTGCTCCTTTTCTTCCTACTGACTCTATGTCCTCTCCTTATCACTACTTTCCCAAGTTTCATCATCCGTTTCGTTTCCTTTCACCTCCTCATTTTTTTGTTTCTTTTCGCCGCACTTCCCCCATCTTGATTTATCTGGATGTATTCTCCATCTCCTTTCTACAACCAGCTGGACCAACTGTCTGTTGGCATGATATTCGAGGAGCGCACCTACACCACAGTCCTTGAAAAAACAGCACACCCCGTTCAAACCCAACCAACACCCAACCGCCCACCGGGCTAACCACAGCTAGAGCAGTCAAATGGGCAGACCTACAGAGTCAGAATCCACCAAAGACCTGGAACCATTCAGCAAGACCTAGAAGCGAGGTTCGAGAAGTCGACTGGTTTACATTAACTCATAAAAAGGCATTGGATACTGTAGTTAGACTCACATTTTATAACACTCACTGAAGCTGGGTCACCGTCCAAAGAAATTTTAATTAGGTGAGGGTTTTTCGAATAATCTTCAACTTGTGACGAAGACAAAGATTCTAGGATGAGAGTGCTTCACTTTGGCAAATAAGCTTGGCTGCACTAATTTGAATAATGTCGCTACCCTGCTTTAATGATGTTGCGTTGTGCGTTGAAATAAGTTTTTGTGGTTACTTCCCCTCTGCTGTATGAAAAAAGTTTTTCGTGACTTTAATTTAGCTGTTTTCATTTTGTCTTGTGTTCATGATGAAATTTGGCTTTGTCTTTGCAACGCTCTTAACCTATGTAAAACCCTTGCGACCCTAGTAGCATAATCTGAGTTCTTACACTTACTGCGAATTTTCCGGATCATATTTTGCCTGGGAACTGATTTTTTATCTGAGACTGAATTAAATTCTTTATTTCGGATGCGTTAAGCCTCATTACTTAGAACCCATGAGTTCATTAAGCATCTCATCAAAAAGCCAAAAAAAGGCGACAAAGCTGGTATTTGCGTAAGGCTTTCTTTGGTCCCTTAACTTCATGGCTTAGCTCGACTCGGATATAAACTGCGTCAGAGTATGTCTACACTATACCCGAAGATGGTGAGGTTGTCCCTATCTTCGTCGGTACATACGCGGAAAGCACTCGGCTACCAAGTTCGTCAGAGAGTGCCAACGATTTGCAAGAAATCTAAGAAGAGTATTCTGTAATTTTTATTGTACCAATATAATTTTATTTCCATACTTACGGTTTTTGCTTGCTTTTTGATGAGCATGAAACGTTTCTCAACATAGGGCGCACTTTGGGACTTTTGACACTTTCGGGTAAAAGGTTTGAAACATTCGGGAGAATTCGTGCGTCGCCCTCAATGCGCTCAAAGTAAAATTATAGGGTTTTTGCCCGAGTGTTACAAAGTGCGCCCCAAGTAAATGCTAGCTGGGTGCACCCAGCAATGGGGAATTACCCATACAGACCAAAACAGGGAAAGTTATTCTAATAAACTGGAAATAAGGGAAACCTCAGTGGTTAAATAAAGGGGCCCCCCCTGGGGAAATGCAACTGACTTCTCCCTTTCACTCTTTTTCTCCTTTTTCGCCGCATAATGCTATAATGTGAGTAATACGGAAGTAATACATGCACTACTTACTAGGTGCATAAACTGAAGAAATAATACTGGTAATGCTGTAATTGTCCAGGTATCCAGGCCATTATTTCCACAGTGCGCGCGATATCTGCACTTCTCCCGGGGGGAATGCATTTTCATGAAATTTTTCTAAGACTTGGAAAAGTGAAATAGGTACGGACAAAGAAGAGAGCATATCGTCGTTAGAAGTTCGCTTCTTTACTACTTAAGTAGTAAACACCAATTGCTATTTGCCAAGTGGACCTTAAAGGCTGAATTCTAGCTATTAATTCCTACTTCTTGACCCTATAGGCCCAGCCGGCAATAATTGGGGTGCAGTTTGAAATTTTCGGGTTCGTCCTCGAGATTGATTACATTTCACGAAATTCCAGTCTACAGCATGACATTAAACTTTCACGCATTTCTCGCTGTATGATTAAGCATCCAAAAATGTAAATGACTGTCCAATGAACTGCTTTTTGGGAGTCCATGTGGATTATGTCGAAAACCTTGGGTGGACTGCAAACAGTCTGATAAATCTAGGCGAATAGCACAGTGTATTTTAGGTGGACTGAAATTGTTTGTGATTTCTGAGTGAAATGCTAGACACTTCTGTGGTTTTTGGGAGGAACTTGATAATTTTGGGAACAAGAATACGTTGTCTGCAGTGCACCCTGACATTTTACCGGTTTTCACCCAAAAATTTCAGTGTTTTCTGGCTGGGATGTCGATATTATAATGCTTTGATGACCAACTTTCAGCAACTGCTGTGATGGAAACATTAATAATTGCGTAATTTGTCAGTCTCGCTGCAATCTCTGCTAAATTTTCATTCTTTTGTGGACTGAAGGAACAATATGAATTACTAAAGACTTAGCCCTTCTGAAGTCAACATACAACCGAATCACTTTTGATTAATCGTTTCATAGATGGCACCACCTTTTGACCCTACATTCTGAAAACGTGACGTTTGTTACAGAGGCTGGTTTCTATTTATCTTCGTGTTTATTACCTTTCACTGACCTCATGGTTGTCTTAGGCATTGCTCCTCTGAGAGCCCAAACCAGAAACCTAACTAAAAATATACATGACCGTCGAAGAGATTCTGCTGTTTGATCTCACTTTTCAGCTAACCCCTGACCCGTGTGACCCTACAGTTAGTTGGCCTACGATACCTCTGATGTTTACACTTCGAGATTTATACACGTAATCATCTTTTATATTCGCAGGTATCACATGCATGTAACAGCGCATCTCGTAACTGTTAGCGAGATTATTCATGCACTTAGTGCATACACTCTTTCCAAGTTCCGTTAATCTATCCTGCGTTTCTTCGGCGTCGGAATCAAAATCGCTGTCATCTCGGCGGTTTACTTCATTTGTTAGTCTTATAATAGGTCGTGATTTTGTGTTATGACGCATATTACTTTCAACTAAGAACACCTTTTCACCGCTCACCTAAAAGAACATAACATTATGAAATCATGATACATTTGCCTTGATAAGACTCCGCAAAGTCTCTCTTGGTTTCTGTTTTGTATTACTGTGAAATTAAAACATTTTTTGGATAGTTCCAGCACTTTATGTAACAGATGCTATGGACAGTTCTTGAGTATTTATCATGTATAGTTTTTACTGGGAATTTAGTAGGGTAAATAAAACAAATTCATTTCATCGACAGGATTTCGTGGGGATTTCAATACTTTGATGTCACTAAGTAGGTTTCGAATCAGACGGTCGCATGTTTATGAATTAAGTCTCTATAAGAACCTACTCGTGATTAAAATACGATCTGTCTTACTGAGAGGAACTAAAGGATTAGACCCAGAGAAAAAACCTTTATTCAAGTGTACTAACGTAGCATGTTAACTGGTGGATACGTGTTCTCTGGAACGTTTTCAGGGAGTGGTGGCTTTGATAATCTTGGGTATGTATATGGCATATCGTATGATCAGCTTGCTACAAAGGTGTGTCACTCATCAATTCGTTGACGCTCTTCTCAGTATATTTACTAAATGATACATTGTATGGTTCCTTTGTAAGTTTCTCGTCACATTAATTTAATCTAGATTTGTGAACCAGTGTGTCATTTGCTGTTATATTCGAACCTTTCTTTGCGAATAACCATGGTTTCTAAGAGAGTTATGTACTTCCCCCTTACCTTGCTCTCAAATCAAAAATCGAAATGCGTTCAGTAACCACGTGCACATTCGTGGAGTAGACTATGAGCTTATGGTACTACCTGACTGAGTCAAATGCGTATATCAATGAACTACAGATTCCTGTCCTATCATACAACTGTGAGACAACAGCCCAAAGGAGTAGACTTCCAGAGCTCACAGATTTTTACTGTTGCTGTCGTCGCAACATTGGTCGCCTATCGCAGGATCACCGTGTGAGCGATGTCGAGGTTATGCATAGATTGTTGGGCGGAGAATGCGAGTCAATCAGTGTCATTGTTCCATTATTATCTGAGACGGCTTGGGTATGTTGCGCTTGCTGGACCACTGTCTACTTAAACTTGAGACGCTAATCCTAAGTAGGATTGAGTTAAAAGAATGCTCAGGGTGACCAGACTGATACCTGCTACCAATCCACGAAATCGCTAACTGCTGACCTGAGAAGTGTTAGAGAATGTAAACTTCCAGGTTAGCGTCTGTGTAGCATCCTAAACCTATAGTTTGAAATGGTCGGTCTTGTGTTTCGAAATCGGTCGGGTTTATGTAGATAAATACACTTTAAAATCTTTGACGGTTAAAAACACCCATTTAATTTCATCTTTTTGTTCATCACTTCCCATTGTTGTCGACTTCCGCCATTCTTTTTGTCCTTTTCTTTTCGTGCTTCTGTTAAGTGTGGTAACTTGAACTAGTGTATTTTTTGCAGCAGGTTATCGTTGATCTGCGAAGGTATTACTGATGGATCATTCAGTGATCTAGATTGACGTATATCACTGCGGCTTTCGATATGCGGTTAGAAATTTCATCACTCATTGTCAAGTAGTTCTAGTCTTTGGTTTAAAGGGGTATTTCGCAACTCTTCCAAATGTTTCCCCAGATTATTGTCAACCTTCTAATCTTTATTATTGTTCCATCTATTATTAATCCTACATCATCTATGATTTATTCCAGCTGTACATCCCTTGGTATCCCGAAACCACCCTCCCAATTATATATCGTAGCTTTCTTTGTCTCTACCTTGCGTCATATCAGGCATAAAGCTTCACCAGCCAAAACTAGCATCTCAGTATGTAGAAGTGTGCTGTGTTTGTGAGACATGGATGCAAGATCCAAGTGAGCCCGCACGGATGCAAAAGGCTCGGTTGGCTTTTACCAGCTTGCGCTACATATGGCGCCGCCGTGATATCCGATTGTCTATTGTGTACTGTGTTGCAGTCCGCTCTGTTCTGCTGTATGGCTGTGAAACATAGGCATTAGAGTTAGAAAACATGAGAAGGCTTCAAGTGTTTGACCACCGTTGTCTTCGTAGCATATGCCATGTTTCGTGGTATCACCACATGGGTAATGCAGAAATCAAACGTCGAGTTTTAGGCAGGAGAGGTAAGACAGTTGATGCGGTTGTGAATCTTCATCAACTGAGACGGCTGGGACAGGTGTTACGTATGCCTAACCACCGTCTGCCACGTCACGAAATGTTTGCCGAAATAGGTCCAGGCTGGAAAAAGGCTTGAGGCGGCTAGACTAAAACATGGCATCAACGCATGAAGTTCTTGACTGTTGGTTTGATCTGTGTAAGGCTATACAGACTAGCTGGTTGGGATCCGCTGGACAAGAGAAACTAGTGCTTGGAAACCCTAGGTGATATGGCTGGGAATTGATGTCGGTGACGCTGATGTATACACATATTGTCCTCATCTTAACCTGTATACCTGTAAACTGCATACTTCTCATTCTTCTTTCCTCTCTTTTACTACTTCTGCTTCCCTTGGCCGATTTTTCTTTCCTTAATCTTCCATTTTACTGCCTTGTTACTTGATGTGTGATATGAGTTGTGGCAACTTGGACCGTCATGCAGTAATGCCTGATCCTATGCTGATCTTGATGATGATGAAGTGAAGCTATTCGTTTAACCTCAAATAGCCAATTTGTTGAATTTTCAAAATCCACTCTCCAAATTTCTGGAGATTTGATAGCCAGTTCTTGCGGTCTTACAGTGAGCAATAAAAAGAATGGGGAAACCCACCGCACCTACTGACTGCAGTTTAGATGAAGTAAGAGATAAGTCCTACCGAAAACTGTTCGACATCCTACTTAAAGCTAACTCGTTCAGATGTTGTTTTCGTAGCAGGTGATTTCAATGCACAAGGGGGTAAGTTAATCCAGGCTGAAAGGCACTTAGATCGCACTTTTGAAATCCCAGTCGAACTCACAAACGACGACCACCTGCTGCAACTCTGCTCAGACAGCCATCTATTTCTGGCAAGCGCAATCTTCAAGTACAAAGAGGGACGTAGTCTATCAACTTCAACCGAACGAAAGACAAAGATTGACCATATTTCTTTCATTTATCCCCAGAAAAGATTGGTAAGAGATTCCTACTCTTTCCAAAAGACGTGTTTGGACAGTGCTGACACATTAGTTCGAGCAGGCATATGTCTGCGCTTAAAAACTGCAGCCTCAAGGCCGTTCCGAGCGCAACTGAATGGTGAGAATACCAAGGCTAAATTTAATGAGGAGCTGGCTAGACAGTTATAAACAATAAGATCACTTATCCTGAAGAGACCTATCGCTGTGTCCAGTTTGCTTTAGATTTACGTTGAACATCGTAAATAACGCTGAAAAATTGCGAAAAACGGTCAGTGGATCTCGGTAGCTTCTAGATTAATAAATGTGCATGAACGCATTCGTTTAGACACGAAGCTAATTGAGGCGCGGGGAAAAATATGGACTGGACAGAATTTATGCCATTACCATGAGCAGTAGTGGGTAGCGGAGGCTAAGGAAATGGAAAAAGACAGTGGTGATGGGCAACAGTAGAGAGTGATTTAGATGATCACGGAAACTGATGCAGAAGAGATAACAGTTAGTGAGATGACCGAGAATATTTTTTTTGATCTCATCACAGGGGTGCCAACCAGAACAATGGGCGAAATAGTTCAGCTAGTCCTCACCTGCCCGGTATCCAGTCGGACCTTAAGTAAGATGCTGATACAGGCGCTCCGACTTTTAAGGAAGTTGCGAAGACTGCAAGTAGTCTGAAAAGTTGAAGAGTATTGAGGTCAAATGGGCTAGAAACCGATAAATTTAATGACAGTAGTCGAGCATTATCAGTCAGACTGACTAAAGTGTTAACCAGCGTGTGGGAATCACGTGTGATCCCCTCCTTATGACTTCTAGTTCCCAAGAACGGGAAGAAATCCTTCTGTGGTAACCACAGGGGAGTGAACCTGACGGAAATAGTGTCTGAGATCGTAGGTTCTGTGATCATTAGACGCATAAGTGGCGCCCGGAGGCAAAAATGCCGAGAAAATAAGACAGGTTTCAAATCTAGCGGAAGTATCGACCATATCTTTACCCTCTGCCAGATCTTCGTACACCGGTAAACTTACGGGTGCCCTACACTAACTTTTTCTTTCTCAGGTGACATTTGACTCCTTCGATCGAGAGGTTTTTTGAGTGTTTCACTTAAAAGGATGCAGGTAGGTATGTTCATCGCTGTTATGAAGATTATATTCCAGCATCTGTGAGGGTGTTAGAGCCTATAGTGAGGTATCAGTTGAGTTGTTTACGTCCATTGGGGTCCATCAACGATGTCCACTTTCTTCACGTTTATCGGATTTGGTCATAGTCGTGCTTATCAAGGTTTCTCTCTCCTCGTCGTCTGACTTTACAATGATAGACCTTGTCGCATGAAACTCCTTGGTAGAACTAGAGTATGCGGATGATATCCTATTTGATTAAGTTTCTGAAAGGATCCTTAGTCTTCTGGACACTAGTTCAAGTTGTTTGAGAAGTACTTCTCACCACCCAAATGCTGATTGTTTCTGCCGGACTTATCTGCGTTGTCTAACAATAGGGAATAAAGCGTCTGAGCACCTTATCCGCCTTACACACCTAGGAGGTCAGATCAGTCCTGGTGGGTCAGTGACCGACGAAATCTCTATATGGGTACAAAATACTTCCGTGGGTTTCGCTAATTTATGTCATCTCTCTAGCCGGTATGCTTCCGTTAGTTTGCTAAAAACCGGGTTTACTGTGCTTCAGTTCGCACCATCCTTCTATATGCCTGAGAAAAATAAACATTGAAAGTAGAGGATATGAGAAGGCTTCAGGTGTTTGACTACCGATGACTTTGTGCTCAAGTCGTAGTACCACTAAGTCAAGAAATCAATGCATTTTAAGAAGGAGAGAAAAATCAGTCGGTTAAGCTGTGAACCTTCATCGGCTTGGATGGTTGGGACATGCGTTACATATGCCTATTCACCGTTTACCTCGTCGCATAATGTTAGTTCAAATAGGTTCAGGATCGAAAACACTTAGAAGCGACTTGAGTAAAACCAGGCATCAGTGCATGAAGTTTTTCAGTTTGTCTGAGCCGTGTAGGGGAACGTAAACTTTGGGGTATCTTCTACCTTGATATGAGGATCATCACACGGTAGTGCCAGGTCCCTTGTTGATAATGACTGGCTAAACATTTTCACTAACTTTCATCTAGTTATTCTCGTTTTCTATACACTTCTTTTTGGTTTACTGTTGTAATTTGACAACTTGGTCTGATGTACTTCGGTACCAGCCTCCACATTGATTTTTCCATTTGCCTGTCTGATAATTCTTTAGTTCCTACCCATGTGTAGATAGTTATTTGCCCTCATTGTTGGCCTCCGATGATGGTTTTGAGTGTCTGTTTATGATTATTGTTTTGTTTTCAATTTCAGGTGATCAGTCCTAATAAATTGGCCTAGTTCAACATGCGTGTTTTGGAGTTTTATTCAGGAATAGGAGGAATGCATGTCGCTTTCCAAAGTATCAATAGTACCAACTTAATTTGCCTTAAGAATCGACTGTGAATCACGAAGTAGCTGCTGCTGTCGAAATAAATGATGTTGCAACTTCTGTATATAAGCACAACTTTCCGAACACGCTGGTATTGAATCGTGTTATTGAAGTAAGCAGTTCAGTACATAATCTTTTAAGTTTTAGAGTTTGAGCGCTGACTTTATACGCAATTTGAATGCAAATGTATGGAGTCTTTGTCCACCCTGTCAGCCGTTTACGAGGCTGGGAAAACGAATGTGTGAAGCGGATAGCAGAACTTCTTCGTTTTTACATATCCTTGACTTGATCGCTATGTAGGCTGGATAGTTTCAATAATAAACTTTTTAAGCTTGAAACCGGAAGGAATTATACTGGAAAATGTAAAGGGATTTGAACATTCAGAGCCATGGCGACAACTGATAGAAGTCCTGAACACATCTAATTATGAATATCATGTAAGAGTATCATGCTTTACATTAGTTTTGTTGAAAATTACATCAAAACCTATAATACTTCCTCATTTCATACAACATGCAGGACCAGATGGAACTCCGCCAAAAACACTGAAAACAGACACAGGGACAACAGCCGACATGCTCACACCACTACTGCAGAAGGTTTGGAAGGAAAGAAAGATACCTGCCGATCGGAAGAAGGGCTACCTTGTCAAACTCCCAAACTCCCCGTCCACATCAAGCAAAATATTATGCCGCATCATCCTGGAAAGACGAAAAATGCTCTGCATTCAAAACTACGACCGGAACAGGTTGACTGGCTTCAGGAAAAACAAATCATGTGCGGACCGAGTTGCAACGCTTCACATCATCATAGAACAGAGCATAGAATAGCAGTCATCTCTCTCTCTCTCTCTACCTCAACTTCATCGACTTTGAAAAGGCCTTCGACAGCGTCGACCGGGAAGTAATCTGGCAACTGCTTCAACACTACGGAATACCAAAAACCTTTATCAACCTCATTCAGCAGCATCTACATACTGTATGCCAAGTGGTTTATAACACAATGGAAAGCTCACTGGTGCCTTTGAAGTGAAGACAGGAGTAAAACAAGGCTGTCTACTATCACTGGCGATCTTCCCGATTGTGGTGACTGGATCATGCAACAAACTGTGACGAGCGAGAAGATAGGCATACACTGTTTGACCGATGAAAAGAGCCTAGAAGATTTGGATTTCGCCGATGATGATTTATGCCTAATGAGGTACAAACTCGAAGATCTACATGCAAAAACTAACAAGTTGACAGAAGAGGCAGGGCGGCGAAGACGGGACTTCGAGTGAACGTAGAGAAGACAGAGGTGATGAAGATACCCAACCAACAACAACAAGCACCAATCACCATCAGTGGGAGAAACCTAAAGGAAGTAGTCTCTTTCACCTACCTACTTAGGCACAACTGTTCCAACTACAGTTGGCGACACAGATGAGGACATCAAAGTTAGGATCGGAGGGACACCAAGACAGGCATTCATTAATCTGAAATCAATGTGGAGATCTAGTGTACTCAGCATGAAGCGTGAACAAGATCAAGATTTTCAATACCAACGTCAAGTCAGTGCTTCTGTGTGGTTCAAAAAGTTGTTGCGTTACGAAAAGTATTTCCAACAAACTACAGACATTCATCAACACTGCCTACGCTCGTTGCTGAAGATCAGATGGTCAGAAAGAATAAGCAACAAGGAATTCTGGTTGGCAACCAACCAACCAAGAACCTATTGCCCAACAAATATGCAGAAGAAAGTCGACATGGATTGGGCGTATACTGAGAAAACCATTCGGAAACATCACGCGCCAGACCAGGCTGTCGAGTGGAACCCAGATGGGAAACAACGAGTTGGGCGTCCGAGGGTGACATGGAGGAGATCATGTGAGAAAGAAATGAAAGCTTGTGGGCAGTCGTGGAGCCAGGTTGAAAAGGCTACAGAGAAGAGAGTGCGATGGAGACGTGCTACTGAATCCCTGTGTTCCACTTGGAGCCCACGGGACAAATAATAATACAGTAACTATTTCTTTTCATTAGCAGCGATTAAACTAGTTGTCACTGAGGTTTTCATAGTTACAGAAGCTTATCTCTTCTGTATTCTATTTGTCGTTTTAGTCTGATATCGTCTAACCATTCACCAATCAAATTGTAGTCGTTTACTTTATTTTACTGCCAAATCAATGTAAAAATCTTATCCTTACTAGATCTGACAAGAGGAATCTTAATCTTTGTTCACTTGTACTGTTATAGCATCGATTTCAACTAGTGGAGCTATCAAGCAGGCTGTTTAAAGTTGAACTAATTTATAGGAAGAGATATAATGTAGACCAAGTTTCATACCTCAATTTGTTTGTGCGCCTAAGATTTAAATTTCGCTCACTAACTGTGCTTGCCAATAAATCTAATTGTCTAAGCTGATGATTGTATTTTTTGTAGTAATCATTAAGACGGCATATCTATCTCGAACTAATGAACTAAAAACTTCGTTATTTTTAAGGGATTTAATATGTCTATGATGATAGCGTCATGATTTCGAAAGTTCTATGACTATGACCGTTAAAGATGTGTGGATATCCAGTGTCAGCCACCAACGTTCAACAAGTTCCTAGTCGATTCCCGACTCGACTGATTAATAGAGAAGACACAATGGATATGTAGAAACGTGTGTTTGAGGTCGAAAGACTGGATGCCTAAAAGAAAGGGAAAATACAGCTAATACATGAATAGCTCGCTATTTAAAATCATCCTATTGATTGGCTAATTTACCGTCCGCCTGTCTAACTATGGGTGACTTTAAAGGCCACCCTAGCAACGACCGAAATAACCAATTAAGTTTCTTTATTTTGTCTGAAAAGGTAGATTTTCATAAAATACAAAAGTCTAGTTGGTCATTTCATGTGTTGCTAGTGTTGTCATTATGGTGACTCCTAACTGTAAAACAAAGTAGATTTTGATTGGTCCCCCCCTCTAGAGTAGTCATTTCTCTCTACCCCCATATCAGATAGTATTTAAATACTAATAGTATAATTTTGATCTTTAGGTCAACCCTACACACGGTTCCTAAGATAAACGTCCATATCATTCTACGATACGGGAGTTGAATAGTATTATTTTGAGACGTAGATGCGGCTAATCTTATCATTATAGAAAAAGCAAAACACATGCTTTACCAAAAGCCTAAACACTGCATCAATGATTACGTCACATCCCATTGTGTTTACCAATTTACATATATGTGTGGTCACGCCTACATAGGGAGGAGCGACTGAGCCATGCATTTGAGGATGGGAGAACATGTACCTATATGGCTTCTAAAACAAATTGAGTATGAAACTGAAACTTTAGCTAAACATATCACGGAAACAGGTCAGAAAATCAATGTTCAATCAACTTTCAGAGTTTGATATAGAAACAGTCAGGCATGTATACTGAGATTTGCGGAAGCCATATCCAATACTCGAATTTAAACCATCTTAACGTGTACAAAATAATTTGTTATTACACTACACCAATCTTGGTAAACTTTGTTTTCTTACCAAGATTAGGATCAACTATATCACTTCCTGTTTGTTCTCATCTTTCTTAATTTTAATCCTCTATTGTGTTTGTCCTCCCACTCGGGTTATATATATATATATATATATATATATATATATATATATATATATATATATATATATATATATGATCAGATTGTTCAAAATGTATTGCGTAAATACATCACATTGTTCAGATAAACTTCGTCTTCTAATTACACTATCGAAACTTTTATGATAAATTTATGAATTCAAGCCTTTGAGCAAGTTTATATGAATCCTGGTTAAGATTTGACCAAATGGTTTCGTAAATATTGGGCCCCCACTGAAAAGTAACCATTAAAGATATGAGTTGTATTTGTACAAAATCTAAGCTTGTTTGAAATGAAAAATTCCAACGTTTCTTACGAAAGTCTGACCGGAAATAATGAAATCTACATTATCCTAGGCATATATAATAGGTCAAAAAAATCATGTAGTTCATCTCATTGTCCAATTATGACACCTATGACGTCTATTATCTTGTAATAGCGGATATCTGAAGTACAACACATACACGCACATAGGCTTACATCCATGCATCGTATTTATCAATGTACCATGGTATGAATAACTGATAACCCTATTGAAAGGTAATCATAATCCAGACACGATGGAACAGTGAGATGAACTACACGATTTTTTGACCTGTCATATCAGTCTGTAGTAATATAGATTTTGATTATCTCCCTAAAGAAGATCGGATCAAACTTCTGTGCAAAACGTTGGAATTTCTTATTTCAAACACGCTTAAGGTTTACACTAATATGATATATCTAATGTAAGCAAGTTGTGTTTATCATAAATTAATAGTTTCACATTAAGGATGTCGTTACAAAACAGCATGCAGAATCTTGGTTGACATACTTGCACGTCATTTATTAGTTTGAAAGTTGTACTATATTTTTCAATGCATAGATTGTATCAACTTTGTGTTAAATAGGTTCAAATATTGCAGGTCGAATTATTGTACACTAAGTCAAAGCAACCAAGTTCTTCCTTTCACAATTAATTACTCTCATATTGTGTCGGTTAATTACATTCTAATTTTGTACATCTTTGAATTTCTAATTTTAGCAGTTTCTGCTTTCACCTGTACAGTTTGGCATACCTAATTGTCGTCTTCGTTTTTATCTTGTCGCTCGTCTACGATCATTATCATGGAACACAAAACTTCAAATGGGTGATTCCAACTCTATTGATTTGAAACCATCGATTGATTTGCCCCGTTTACCCGGTTGTTTATGTGCTTTTTGTTGTGGCCTTATCAGGTGAATGTTCTTTAATTTCCATCATGGATATACATATTTTAATGCTTTCAGATATTTATTTATTATTATTATTTATCCCTTGGGTTCCTAATGGAACATAGGGCTTCAGTAGCACGTCCCCAATGCGCTGTTCTCTGAAATCTTTTGAACCTGGCTCCACGACAGCCCACAACCTCTCATTTCTTCCTCGCACGATCTCCTCCATGTCACCCTCAGCTGGGATGCCCAACTCGTCGCTTCCACTCGGGGGCTTGGCCTGTCGCGTGATGTCCCCAGTCGGCCTTCTCAGTATATGCCCAATCCATCTCCACTTCTTGCATATTTGTTCAGCAATAGGTTCTTGGTTGGTTCGTTACCGGCCAGAGTTCCTTGTTGCTTATCCTTTATGGCCATCTGATCTTCAGTAACGAGCGTAGGCAGTGTTGATGAATGTCTGTAGTTTGTTGGAAATGCCTTTCGTAACGCGCCAAGTCTCTGAGCCATACAGAAGTACTGACTTGACGTTGGTGTTGAAAATCCTGATCTTGTTGACGCTTTGTGCTGAGTGCAGAAGATCTCCACATTGACTTCAGATTAATGAACGCCTGTCTTGCTTTTCCGATCCTGGCTTTGACTTCCTCGTCTGTGCCGCCTGTAGTTGAAACAGTGCAGCCTAGATAGGTGAAGGAGGCTACTTCCTTTAGGTTTCTCCCATTGATGGTGATTGGGGCTTGTTGTTGGTGGTGGTGGCGTTGGTCGGGTATCATCATCATCTCTGTCTTCTCTACAATCACTTGAAGTCCTGTCTTCGCTGCCCTACCTTTTCTGTCAACTTGTTAGTTTTTGCCTGTAGATCTTCGAGTTTGTGCCTCATTAGGCATAAATCATCATCGGCGAAATCCAAATCTTCTAGGTTCTTTACCGCGGTCCAGCGTATCCCCCTCTTCTCGCTCATCACGGTTTGTTGCATGATCCAGTCCAGTCCACTACAATCAGGAATATCATGGGTGATAGTAGACAGCCTTGTTTTACTCCTGTCTTCACTTCAAAGGCATCACTGAGCTTCCCATTGTGAATTACTTGGCATGTGGCATCTTCATATAGTTGTTGAATGAGATTGATAAAGGCTTTTGGTATTCCGTAGTGTTGAAGCAGTTGCCAGATTACTTCCCGGTCGACGCTGTCGAAGGCCTTTTCAAAGTCGATGAAGTTGAGGTAGAGAGAGAGAGAGAGATGACTGCTATTCTATGCTCTGTTCTATGATGATGTGAAGCGTTGCAACTCGGTCCGCACATGATTTGTTTTTCCTGAAGCCAGTCAACCTGTTCCGGTCGTAGTTTTGAATGCAGAGCATTTTTCGTCTTTCCAGGATGATGCGGCATAATATTTTGCTTGATGTGGACAGGAGCATGATTCCTTGCCAGTTCTTGCTAAGACTTAGGTCGCCCTTCTTTGGGAGTTTGACAAGGTAGCCCTTCTTCCGATTGGCAGGTATCTTTCTTTCCTTCCAGACCTTTTGTTTCAGATATTTAATTGGAAGGTGATCTTCAGTTGAACGCAAGAAGGATTGAGTAGATACTTAAGTGTAATTTACGACTCCTCAAAATTCAAGGTTTCATAGTGAAGAAATTACTGCAGAGCTACTGTTTTAAAATAAGAAAATTAATATTTTTGAAGCGCGTATCATCTGTAGTATATATTTCGATTGTTTAGTGTCATAAGTTAAAGTGTATCCTTATTTCTTCTCTAGATGACGTAAGCATAATACGATTCCTATGGGATGTGACAATCTTGGAGTTTAGTTGATGGAAGGTATTGGAAACAAATATTAGTCGATGCTTCTTATATGGAATGAAATTGTATACTAGTGCTTACTGACTTCAGTTAATTATTCAGTATCCGTCGGCATATAACTAACTTGATTGAAGCATGTATTCAGAATTTGAACGAGGGATTAACACAGTACTGCTAGATTTTTTCCCCATTATATGAACGGGTTTATATTAATACAAGTGTAATCCAACTGGTATTGATTATTCTTGAAGTAATCAGCTTCAATAAGTGTTCACTTGCGTCTTCCAATTAAGCTGTTTGAGAGCATTTCACTACATTAAACACATTTTGTGAAGATATAACTCATCGGTTTAAGGAGTCCAACTTCAGAGCAATGACTGTCGAATCCTGATCCTACTCCACCTACTTCTGCCTAGTCCTCATACAATAGGTGTAGTACATAAAACTTGTACCAGGTGAAGTTGCGACGAAGTTGGTCAGCTGTCCACCTTTTCTCGTATTCTCACTTCTGACGAAGTGATTTAACTCTACGCTGTTATCTGTAGCTATTTTTCATCAATTGGCTGTTGTATTCGTCAAAAATAATCCTTAACAGGGAAGCATATTGTTGCTGTGTTTTCTCTCTTATAGCTAGTTAGTATCAATTGTCGAAAGTTTTCACTTACTTTTCTCTTGCATAGTTCATGTTTTCTATTCATAAAACAGTATAGTTTATTATCATTCAAAATATTCTGTTTAACAGTTAGGTAGATTTCTTTCCATAGAATATCTTATTATTTCGATAGGGCTAATTTCATAACTGTTCAATATTGTAACTAAGCTTTCGATAGACTGTTTCTTAAACCATTTACTTTTCATTACAAAATAGATGTATCAGGTGGATATTGTTTTAATAGTTTCCTGAAACAAGCTATTATAACAAATGACAAATAACTAAACATTTTAAGTTATAATTTGATAAAACATTTAGATTTTCTGTGTAACTTCTGTCTGAATGCTAAATGATAAAAATTCTTTTCATATTTCAGGCATATAAAATGTACAGATGATAATTTTGCTGAGTATATACAATTTTGTCGACCAATATCAGAGTTTTTATTGTCACCAAACAACAATCACAATAGAATAGTAAGATAATGCGAATTATATTACGGATTTACTATAAAAGTTGCATTTTTTAGATGAAAAATGCCTTCAACGTTATTTCCGTATACTTGATATTGTCCGACCTTGTGATAAAAAAACACGTTGTTTTACAAAGGGTTATGCAAAACGAATGGAAGGTACAGGATCTATATTACAAACATCTATGGAAGATGAAGTAAGTACTTTAGAAGTCATGTTGAGTATGTTGTATGATTGTCCAACAAAAGCTCTTATTTTCTTAAAAACCCATGTAGCACATACCAAGATTAAAAAGATGTTTGTATCTTATGTGAACTACATAATAGTTGTGCAACGATAGTTTATTGTGGCAAAGAGTATAATTCACGGCTTAAACTTATTTCTATCGGAGACTTGTTAACCTTATCTGTCTGGATCCCGATGATGAATGATATCATCCTTTGTTCCACTTGTAGCTAATACCATATATAATCAAGATATGAAAACAAATAATACAGAAGTGTTAGTATAAAGGCTTATCTACCTGTAGAACAATGTATTACTGATCTACTCTCACAAATTTCATACAATAGGTCCAGAATGTCCACCTATCAAGGCTTAGGCAACTAGGTATTGTATTGCACAACAAACAACATGTAAGCAATTATGTGAATCTATGCTTGATTACTAAACTGTAATAAATTATTATCGCCATTATTACTGCTGCTGCTCTTTGAGGTTTTTCTTTACACCATCTAAGTCAATGAGTCATGACATATACGATTAGAGTAAAGGAGCATTGATACATTTTTGTGTACTGGATAAAAAGCCACGTGTGTTACGTGATATTATCAAACTATCATCCAAGTTTGAACACAGGGAAACGAATTGAAACCCATAGGAAGCTGGTAGGAAGTGAATAAGTGAGCCATAGGTCAACAGGCTCAAGACCCTTATTTATCTTTTCCACTTCGTTTAATGGTTTATATAAAAGAAACTTGCATCACAACCATCGCTTGATATGATTCTAATTAGTATGCATACAGATACTCTAATTTGATCGAATGAGAAGTTTTGATTAAGATTATGTTATGTGTGTTATCAAAATGCAACTCGTTATAAAGTTGTACGGTATTTTAAACTGATATTTTCCGTCGAACATTCCACGATAATATCCTGAAGATCAGCATCAAATTTGGTTTTTTCAGACCCGTCATTGCATAATTTATGACTGGGAAAAATAAACAGAAACAAAAAAACCCACAATATATTATTACATACGTATGAAGAAAATTTCTATTCTCATCCACCTGTTGGGGGATATCATTCCTTATTTGTACATTCTTTCATTTAACAGTTTTTCATGAGGATATTTAGATTTTTTCTCCAGTTAACAGTGTAGTACTGTCATTTAAGTTCACTCAAATTCAACTCAATCATCCTTAAGCAAACATACTTATACAAGATTGGTATGTTTATCATCATGCAATTTAAAACAATCTTTTCAAATCAGTCTTCATTTCCAGAAGCTAGATCCATCCTAGGATCTGTCCACTTGTGACATTTCCAAAAACACTACGCAGTGAATCAATTGTCAGATGTTTTAGAAACTTAGCTCACATTTTAAGTTAGTAGTTGGATCTATCTGTTTCTGTTTTGAGAGTTGATTCCTATTGTACCTTCTGGAAAAAGTGGGTCTGTCCATAGTGAGGAGACTCGATAATTTAGGGAGTTGTTCAGTCAACGCTTGGGTCACGGGTTCGAGCTCCACTCCATGTACCCACGTTTGGGCAACCAGGTAGTGTCACTAGCCTTCATACAATAGGTGTGGCTCAGTGCTTACTGGACGGATATATACAAGTTGGCTGAGTAAGTTTCGCTGTTTTGCTTTGTCTACAGTAAGTTTCATTGGGCCTTAAAGTAGAGCTACATATCATGAAGTCCACCACAGTATGACTTTAACATTGTTCTTTTTTCTTACCAGTCACCTGATAATATGACCTAGTAAATTACACGACTAATATTAGTGCCATATACCCATAATTTATGGCATCTAATAGTAACCTAAGGCTAAGTTATATGGTGAACAAAACGAAACTCACTCAGTCACCTTGTTCACATCCATTTAGTAACCAATGAGCCACATCTATTGTATGAGGGCTAGTGATACCAACTGACTACCTAAACCTCGGTAGGTGGAGAGGGGTTCGAACTTGTGACCCATAGGTTGATAGTCATCTCTTGAATCACACAGATGTTATATGCATATAGTTGTGATAATTTTGAAATTGTGCTCAAATACTTATCAAATTCCTTTTATTTCGAGTTTTAAAACTACCTAATAATACATCTCTTAATTATAATAGACAACTGAAAAGATAACAAAGTATTATGAAGCTAATAAAGAAGATGAACATGTTATGCTTCAGTATGCTGGACAGTTGAGATTACGCTTCTTTCATCATCGTGAAGTTGCTAATATGTTGTGTTTCCCAAAGGATTTCGGTGAGTTGTGCTATATGGAAAATTTGTGGAAATATCACATGATAACTTAAGTCATAGTTTTGTTAAGTTTGTTTTAAATTATACCTGTACTTCTGTGGTTAAAAACTTAACGATAAATCAAACAACATTCGATTATTAATCTGAATATTTACATACACTTAGTGAGTGTTTGGTTATCTACCTTATGCTAATGAACTACTGTATTCTTTCTGTATGACAGTTGGATAGCAGGACTATACAAAATGATACGTGTTATATAGCCATTCCTAGGAGATTTTAATCTATGTAATGATTTGAGTTTTGTTCTTCAACTTGAATTACTTTTGTGTATTCTTATAGTAATATAAATGACACCCTGAATATCAGAAGTTTGCACTGTTACTTTTGGCAATACAATAAAAGTAAAATAAAGGCTTATATAGAATTGCTAGTTCGATCTAAATAAATACAACTTACCAGTCTAAAAATATGAAGAGAAAATAGTTGAAAGGTTTTTAACTTTATTGTCAAAGAGCTGAGAAATGATGCATTCAAGAAAGATAATCAGTTGTCAAAGATACTTCAGTTTTTATAGCTTATAAGTTTCACTTTCAGTTGTTTTCCTGTTTCAAAAAAAATGAGCATCCTAACATTTTTTTAAAATTTCAAGAATCTAATTTCTGTTGGCAGTTTTTAGTTTTACATTAGTTTGCATCACCGAATGATATCAGTTTGGGGGGACCATGCAAAGAAAATCTAGGAGTAACGATTGCTTTTAGGTCCCAATTTAGGATATCTAATTGGTCAGAAATTGAAATGCACTCAGCAACTTCGTGTACATTCATGCAATAGGGAATGAACCACACACTGTAAGGGCTAGTGATACTACTTGGGTCCCCAAACCTCGATAGGTGGGGCGGGACTCGAACCCGTGGCCTACCAGTTGGAAGTCGAATGCACGGGCTAATGAGCTGCAGCTCCACAGATCAGTCACTGGGTTTAAATCGATTGGTCTACATTTCTCTTGTCATTTCAATTCGTGCAACCGCCATCCAAGGGCATTTGTTTGCATATCCGAATTTGTTGACCCCATGGATCGCATCTCACTAAGACTTCGGCCAATTCATCTCGAAGCAAGTTGCTGATGAGCACCGGACAGCAATTCGATTTGCTAAGATAGAGTGATTTAAAAGTAGTCGTCGCCATTGTTGGGCAGTATCCAGCTAAGATAGAGCTGCTTCCAGGTTTATATCTGACCATCCATCAAAGCGCCAGTATACTGCGCTGCAGTCTTTCCTGTCCTGTTATACGGCTTTGAGACATAGTCATTGAAAGTAAAACACATCAAGCGGTTACACGGTTTTGATCCTAGGTGTCTTCGTAGTACTGTTCACTTTCGGTGAAATCACCATGTGAGCAGTGATGAGGTTAGGCGAAAGGTACTCTGCAAGTCGATTAGTGAGGTGAACCTTCTTTGGCCGGAATGAATTGAACATGTGTTGCGCATGCCAATCCACCACCTACCTCGACATACCATGCTAGGGGAAGCTGGATTGGGTTGGAAGAGGGTTCGGAGTGACCGAGCTAAAACCTGGTACCAGTCGATGAAGTCTCTTACTGTTAGTCTGAGCCATGTGGGAGATGTAAACTGTCTGGTTGAAGTCCCCGAGACGAAAGGAATCAGTGATTCAGAATTCTTGGTGACATGGCTGGAAATCGGTCACAACGGCACAAATGTATTCACTGTTTGACATCTTTTAAAGCTTGAGTATTTGCGCTAACTGTTTCTACCCTAATAGAACTGTTTCATCATCTGGTATTTTCTATGGAACATGGTCTAGTCATTTTATGGGTTTTTTATTATTATATGATAAACCATCTTGGCCTCTTTGGGCATAATCAATTAAATGTGGGACTGTAGTGTACCATTTGATCAAATCTTGATTTCTGTGTACAATATAAAGTTTGCAGTGCTTTGTTCAAATTATTCAGTCGTTTAAATTTCATTGTTTGAAGGTCACTGAATCTTTATGGTACCCCTGTTGATAGGTTTTAAAGTGAATTCCCAGTGACTTTAAAGACCACCTTCCATTTCGACTGGAAACGTAGTTTTTTCATACAATGCAGAACTTTAATTGGCTAGTTCAATAGTTGCTAGGGTGACCTTTAGAGTAACTCTGATGTCTTGATGAATAAATGCTGGGAATGACTACAAATCAGTTCAACCAACTAGATCACCTTAACATGTAATCAGATGTTTGTCACAATGAGCCCAAAATTTAGAGTACTTTAATCTGAGTAATTTTTTTCTGAATCTATTGTAAAGATTCTTTGGTTAAATGTTTAAGGTTAATAGGCTAAAAGGTATTTTTACGTACAAACGGTAAACTATGAATTTTGCTTCATAAATTCACTTGTGAAAAATTACCTAGTTACTGGGGGACACTTGATAGCAGTCGAATCGAAAACATTTAAAAATGCACATATTTTTTCCCTGATACTAAACACACTTTCTCCGCATTGTACCTATCGCTTCACTTACATTTGCAAAGATGTCAACAGGATCAAACTAAAAGTTACTACGCAATAAGCTAGTGACGGATCTAAAATCCTACCAGTTTTACCAGATGTTTAGTGGTGTGGGTTCTATGAGGCTATTGATTACTGATTCCCATATTAGTTACATCAATCTTTCCAGTCCTGATACAAAATTAAGTCATTAATTTCGAAAATTACTTAATTACTCATGAGAAATTACATTCGACTTAAACTGCGTGTTTGGGAAGTGTATGTCTATTCACTTATATTGAGTAATTTCACTTGCTGGATGATCAGTTGTGCGTTATGGTACTTTCATCTCATGTAAATAAATATGCACAAGTGTACTTCTTTGTCCTTGTAAAATACTCTATTTTTCAAGGTGATATTCACCTCGGATTGAATTCAGTTGAAGAACCATTGGAAACCTAGGAGCACTGGACAGCTGTTTCGTCCTAGTTAGGACTTCTCAGCTGTGCGCACCCGTGACCTCGTTAGCGATCGAATCCAAGGATTTCAGGCTCTGTGGTGAACACGTCTCTGTTGAGCCACTAGGTCGCATTTCTCTACTTCTGTCAGTTCGCGATAGAGCACAACCTTCATCCACTGCCATTGTTGAATATTGATCCTCATGTGCGATTTGGTTTGTCCCACAGTTCACGAATTCTCGTTGAAAAGCGAATTGACAGAAGTAGGATAATTTAGACCATTGAATTCCGATCGAATGGCTCAATGGTAGCGTACTCACCGCGAAACTTGAGAATCTTGGGTTCGATTCCTGGCAGGGTCATGGGTGTGCACCATTGAGGAGTCCCACACTAGGACGAAACAGCTGTTCAACTCTCTCAGGCCTTCGAACGTTCTTCAACGGATGTCATTCCGTAGTGAATATTATCTAGAAATCAATAAGTCCCCATAAACCTTCAGACTATTCTATTTTTGATGTAAATGTAAAGAATCGATTCTTACGCAGAACATTCTGACTTAACGATCTATGGATTGTAAAAACCAAGACGCAATTGTGTATCTGCTGATGTGGTTTGATGGTCTCTGTACTTTGATTTATCGAGGGTTGAAATAAATAAGTTGCTTACATCTATTGCAGGAAGACGGAGAGTAGTCGTAACTCACACATTGTAGATAGGGTTCAACATAGCATGCAAAGCTCTAAACAGTGAGTGAGTTACATGAGAGTTAGTGCTTTCATATGTATCATGAGACCAAAATTATCGTATATCCTTTCTAGATATTCTGGTATGCCTGTTCTTGAGAAAATTACCTTTTCCAGCACTACTACTTTTCTTTCCAGATTTAGGTTGAATCTCTGCTTGAGTACACGTAAACTACTCAGTTCATTTAGCACCAGGAGCGAAATATTAAGTCACCTTGTAATAATACCAAAGTTGCACTCAGGGCAATAGTATATTGCTGCCTTTGACGCTTCATTCCATTTTCCGGCTCAGCTCTAAGTCTTCAGAACTATGGACGTTCAATGCAACCTGGTGGATCGGTCACCTTGTGGAGCAGAAAACATCTAGGCAACGCATATTCAGTAGGATCATGTAGAGGCTCACTGTCGTACATAACTAGGCTCGAGCCATAATCCCTTGGGATGCATCACATCCCAAGTTTTCACGAGTCAGCAACACAAACCCGACACCTTTAGCCGCAGCGTATACAGCTACCTCACGTTGATGTCGTGGGATGTGACTATAGAACAGGTTTATACTATCTGTGACTGCATACTCAACTGAACAATGATCATTTTCTAAAGTACGCATCTATATTGTGGTTTTATCTTATCTAAAACCTGGAACCCTCAAGTAGTGGAAAAATCTCTTACATAAACACCTTGTGAGCAGAGCAAACAATCATCAGGCCACATGTGTGTTTATGGAAAAGTACTGATTAGTTTGAATTGCTGACAAGGCGGATATCATAGCCGTCTTGTCTATCGTCTATATAATTTGGTAGCAAAAAAGTAGTTTAAGCAAGAAGTTATCAAAATGAAAGAGATAATGGGTGTTTTTGATCATCTCAGGACTCACAAAAGTAGTCGAAGAGACTTTCAGTGACTGACTATTCAATGTCCCTGTATCACTTTTTTAGGGATCCAGGAATACTCTTGTAATGATTTACATATAGTGGATAGCATATTAAGTTTATCACTCAGCTAGTGTGTTTTCACTTAATCGTTTTGTAACATATTGTAAATAATGCTTATTTCCTTAGATTTTCCAGAACATGTAACAGAGAAACAACGCCTTCGCTTGCTGGGTAACAGTGTGAATGTACTGGTTGTCAGTCATTTAATTTACTGGGCCTTCGGGGTGACACAATGATTTTTTCGTATACCTCGGACTGTACAGAAAAAGGTTGTTTTTATCAATTTTATAACTTGAATAAAGATTGTATTTTCGTACAGTGCACAGCTAAGAGTCAGCCTTTCAAATCAATTATTACCAAATCGTTTTTCACAAATAAAGTAATGTAAATTAGTTTTCCGTCAATAAACAACAGCAGATTTTCTTTGGTTATTTTGAGCAAACAATCAGCTTTTCGCCAAAGTCCACTGCAAACCGGCTTTTCCACCTTCTCCACGATTTTTCCCACTTGTGATGGAGTTAAGGTTCTCTGGTGGTCACCAATTTTTCCACGACGCATGAATCTAGTGCCTTCTTTCGTAGACCACAGTCCCATATCTTTCATCCATTCGAAATTCGTTGTGCGGTTTCCAGACATTTTCTCAAACGAACAGTGTTCCGCCAACTCAGAAATTTGACTACATGTCAGTCTTTTTGGACGACGTGAATTGTCGGGCCCATCAACCCAGGTTTCGTGTATAAATTCTTCTATGAGTTTCAGTGTTGCATGCGGATCACACTTGAACATTTCGTAAGTAATAAGAAGTACTTTGGGTCTAACATCATTTTTCTGGTCATCTTTCTTTCTAAAAAGCTGGTTGCAGCTTCGTAGTAACTTCTAACATGTCTGCACCAAGGACTATAGGGTAGTTTGTCATCCAAAAACCTGCGTACAAATCCTTCCAAGCCTTCTAAGTTTTGATATCCAGCTGGAACAAAGCACCTGACAAAGTGGTAATATGAAACGACAACATCACGAGGATCACGCACAATGTAAACAATACGTGTGCATTCACCATTTCGAACCTTAGAGATAAGAGTTGAAGTTAACGGTTCAGTATTTTTTATATGTACAAAATTATAAATTCTAAGAATAAACATAAAACTCATTTATCTTTGTTATGTTTTTCAGAAGTTACTTAGAACACGTTTGCGTTATCACGTTTACTGTGAAATTTTTTATCAAAGCACATCTTAGGAAAAAGAGGAGAACAGTGGTTAAACTCCTTGCGATCGTCAGGTATTACGGTGTTAAGGAACATGAAGCGGCAAAATAGATAAGAGCATGGTGGGGATACCTTTCGATCTAATCCGTCACCACAGCGAAGCAAGGTGACGTAAAGAGAAGGAAAGACAGTACATTGAAAGTAATTACATCAGTTGTCGTGAGAAGTCACAAAACAAAAAGAAATGCGGGTACGACTTAGATAAAGAAAGGTCTGCGTGCACATATTTTGCGAACGTCACCTGAGATGACGTGTACAAATTAGATTAGAAGCCAGAGGCCTTGTGCTATTTCATAAATTGACTGCGTGTAGATGTCTTATTCCACTTCGGTTAACATAGAGCGTTAGGATATAGGTTTACCATGTCTATGATCTAGTTACCAGGCACATAAGGAGATAAGTAAAATACATTTAACTTAGTTGCAGACAGGATTATGCAAAAAATTCGAAGTTACGACATTTATAATCGTTTCATTAGAACGTCACTCAACAGTTAGTCAGTCCGAGTTATGTCTTTCAATGTTACACTAGTAAGAAATTGGGGACTGATCTACGGTGTAAAGTGAACATCAATCTGCGGTGGCCTTTCTTCGCCTAATGTCCTGGAAGAATTAGCGTAGAGCCTGGCACAATAGTGCATCAGTAGGTTGCGTTGCCACAGCATTTCACAAAGGAGTGAATAGAAAAGAAATGACACTAAGTTCAGCAAACGTTTGTGAGGCGGGAGAATAAATGGATGAAAGCGTTTAAAAAGTGTTCACAACTTCGGGGATGCGCTATTACGATGGATTTAAATTCATATTAACAACAGTCTTCAATCTTCGGTTTCGGATGTAACTCAGACTTTGATCAAGCAGTCTACATCTCTTTACACCAACATTCAAAGACTTCACAAAATGATATATCTTTATCTGTTAAATTCTCACCTCTCTCTCAACCCCGACGTAATTTGGTTAACATTGCATGTTTAGGTAGTTTTTTCGAAACCACATAAGTTATTGAAGGTTCATCAATATAAGAGTTAAACTACAGTCCTGTGGTAGATTATTATTTACTTAACATACCACAGTGATAAAGTATTATTTACTGGATGACGTTTTGAGCAGATTTTATTGCTCATATTCCCTAACCTTTTTATGAAGTCACTGTTGAAGATGTCATCAAGCCTGGTGACAAAACGTCCACAGTAAAATACCAAAGCTCAGAGAACTTCAGACCAGCCTAATCTTGAGCTACAAGTCTCCATCATTTCAAAACGAGATATATTTTCAAGTCCCTGAAGTTGCGCAACGTCAGAAATTCACTAATATTTTGAAAATAAACTTGGTTTACAGTGACTATTAGCTTGTTTTCTACTCTATATATGCATGAAAAGAATATTTTTTAAGGAATGGATAGAAGGTAAAATACTCAGACCACAAAGTTACAGTTCACCAAGGACTTTCGCTACTCCAACTAAGCTTGAAATGGGACCAACATATGACGATAGTGAAAGCGTATGCGCCTCTTCCTTCCTCATATTTAACTCAGGCTTTGATATATGTAGACTACATGTGTTAAACTGGTTCAGCATCAATAAACTGGGATCTTAAGTCTCTACCATTGTTACAACATCGAATATTGTACTTTTCATAACCGTACTGAACCCCTAGCTCTGAAGAAAGTAAATGACGTACAATCAACCAACAACAGATTAAGGTGGATAAGCGACACTTTTACTAAGGTGACATTAAAATACTTCGTTTATCTACCGATGTTCGAATATATGCTGATCAGGAAGTTTATACTATAAACAGCACTATATATAATATACAATACATTATATAAATATAAAACTTCACAAACCTCTTCAGGTAATAAATGGAATGGGAGATGTGTTTTTATCACACGAGGAGCTGGTGTTCGTAAAATGGTGCTTGGTCCAGGCCATATATACTCCAAATATGGGACCCTCTCCTCCAAATTCGATGAATAGGCTTTGATCCAGTTTAATCTGTTGACAATCAAGTACACAGCTTCAGATAGCCACGTAGTTCCAGATTTTGGATAACTAGCAACTATAACGTCATTTGGATGCCAGTGACCTGACAACTTGGTTTTTGCTTCTTCTGCCATTTTTGCTATATCACTTGGCAGGACAACGGATTCAGATGTTTCAGCGACACTGCTTTGGTTACACACTGGAAGACGTACAAGAGTAAAGCCGGTAAACTCTGGATCTTCAAATGAATCTCTTTTTCTGTGGTCTAGCCCTTTATGTTTTGCATACCATAGTGATAGAGCAGATCCAGCGAGTAATGGCGACACCAATACAATACCTAAGGCTGATACTATCACATTTGTTTCTCCCTGATAAAACTTGTTACGTAGTATACGCAGTCTCTGAAGAAGGTTAATCATCCCAGCACTGTGATTCAGTAATTCAGCATACAATTATGAAAGTTGACTTTAAAATAAAATAAACAAAGGCAAGTAGCACAAACTTAACAAGAGGTTGTGTAAGTCAAATAAAATTTGACGCGAAAAACTGTGAGTACATATAATTTGAAAATTCAGAACGATCGACACCACTATCTGTCAAGACGTGGTGTACGTACACGGCATTATTTGAGTGGTGGAAAACCTGCTTTATGATAGATCTTGACTTGCTTTTACATCCACTAAAATGATAACACTAACTTTTGAAATGGTATTTCTATTCGTTATAGGAAAAAACGAAGGTTGAGTCAATGTTAACCTAATGGATGAGTTGAGTGGACCAATTGTTTCTCCTTTTTAGTCTACACTATTATACTAATCTCTCCGGCTCCAAGAATGAACTGTATTAGCTGAGTGATTTAGTCAAGAGCGATAGTGACCATTGAAAAATGGTTGGCCGTAGGAATAAATGTTACGTCCCATATCCACACTACATATGTATGACTGGTCGGTCACGACATAGTTCTGTAAGCATGGGAAAATCTACGAATACGGTTGACAATCTTAGATATGGACGCCAATGGTGGATGTTATGAAGTTGAGGTGATGTATTGTGACAAAGGGAATCGTACATTATAGGTCAACTTCAAAGCTAGAGACTTCATACTTAAAAACCGTCGTATCTGGAAAATAGCAATATTTTGCTTAATCATGGAGGACGCAAATGAGTCGCATTCCCATAGGAAAAAGCTCATAACAGCTTTCTCAAGAAAAACCTGCCATTGGCTACCCTTGAATCTTCTCTCGTGTAGAATGTTGCCCAGTAGGTCAGTGTCAACATAAAACCTGGAAATATTGTGCAACGGTGTAAATAGCTACACTACACATCGAGATAAAGAGCAGCAAAATAAATGATGGTGAAGTCAGAAAAAACTAAAAGAAAGTCGTAAAGCGAGAAGGAAGGAAATAACAATGAGATTTAGTATGACGACTGGGATGAAGATGATCCGTGTGTACATCTGCGTTATTGAGGTCGGTTATGAATCATATTGTCTAGAATCTTCAACCATCGGTTTCGGTCGACGTGTGGGCACTATTAGAGAAGTCTACATTTCCTTATACACGTAGAACGAATGTCCAAAGATTACGGACAACTAACAAGTTTTAGTCTTGCCGCCTTTAGTCTTTTTTCAGCCTACACCTACTTTGGATAACATTGCACTTTGGGGAAGACGCTCACTAGGTATACGTAACTTGTGTTCCAAATGTTTGAGTGGACGAAGCTTTACAGCCTGATGACTTGATTTGCCTAAGACTTTATAATTCACTTCTACGTAACTAATACGGTTGTTTCATGACATGTGGCTACTACGACGAAAGCATGCTTGATCGAACGTCTGAGACCTCATATCATCGACTTATTGTAACTGTGTTTCACAGTCACAGAGGACACGAAAGACTGCAGGTGATGTTTTGCACTCAATTAGCTTCAACTAGATCCCGAACTATCAATAGTAGACTTAGTTTCTATGCGACATTAGCAGATAATGTCATGGTTGTTTTTCAATTCAGAAATTACGATTCCAGTTAAGACTCACATTTCCGTCAATCGACCAATCAGTGCAATAAATTGTTGGCAATTAGGAGCAGTGAAACTTATATAGACCGATCTTTCAATAAAGATGAAGTCTTTGAAACGGTTTGGGATAAATTCAGAATCACATTTGATGGCGATACGTCAGACTTCATCCCCATAGTCAACTCCGTAAATGCTTACTAATGGATCTTTTTCGCTTGATAGGCTAAATCAAAAGTTATTAGGGGCAAGGAAGTGTCTCGGAAACTCATTTATATCGATGGGTACTAAGGCAACTAGACAAGAATCCTGCGTGAAACTCCTATTACTAGGTGCTGCGTAGGGTATGGAAGACAGTTAATTAATTATTCTAGAAGAAGTTCTGGAAGACTATGCTTTCATACGAAGCATAACGCTAGAAAATATGATAGAATCTCCATCCTATTCTCTCATGTTAATTTAGAGGGTTTAGGGTAATCAGATAAGGCTAATGCTGAAAACCCATCACATTATTTCAGCGACTTTTTCCGGTAGACAGAAAGGCCAAGGTACTGAGTGTTATCACGGTTGATACCGTCTTTACGTCTTTACTGATTGAATTACTTAATAACCGGAAATCTGAAAAGTCACCAAGTCCTGCTAAACCATATGATAGGCTATTATCGTTGGCGGATGTTATCGCCGAACAACTAGCGGTGATACCTAGACGTACTTTATGCTAGACCGACCAAGGACTGTTAAGGTTCCACTTTTGGCTCAACTTCTGAGGAACGTTATAGGCAACTAGAAAAAAAGACGCCATCTATTAGTTTTACTGGCACAACTGTCAAGATATCGGGAATATAATTAAGGATATGTTGTAGAGTCATATGAAAACACTTGATGTATAAGTAAGGAGGTGCATTTTTCTGTCTGCACACTTCTGTGCAGGGAATCTACTCTTGGTGAAATAAGAAAGGCTAGAGACAGTAAACTATCTATGGACGTAGTAGTCAAATAAAATAATGTCCGAGTGAAGACCAATTACTGATGGATTTCTTCAAAACACTATATTAGGACCTCTCCTATTTCTACTTTACATTATTAGGTTTCAGAAAATGTTCGTCAACATCCTAAAATTTGCGGAATATGGTAAGGTATGCAAGGTTATTTATAACGGTCCAGATGGGGTAGCGCTTCACACTGACCTAAATGTATTGACTGAGTAGTCTAAATGTTGAAGTCTGGAAATAATTCCGAACAACAGTGCAGTGACGCTATTTTTTTGACAGTTCAATATTCACAATGTTCACTACGTCATTCATAGTTAGGGAAAGGTTACTGTTAGCCATAAATTGAAGACAACAGGACAGTGAAATTTGGCCACAGTTTTGGTATTCTGAATTCTATGGTCGTTTTACGTGATTTTTAAATGCCTCTCTATTTAAAATAATTTCCCCTACCTGCGTAAGACAATGGTTCAATTTTTGCATGCAGGTGGCAAGCCATAGATAAGTGGATTACTACAATTTGTGGGTACAAAATGCACTTGGGAACTCACTTGATCTAGGTCGCAAGAGAACGCTCTGAAAGTCTCATTTCCTACACGAACTGTAGAAGTGAAACGTAACAATCCAGCTATTCATAAAATACTTGTAGAATCCTAATAAATAATTTACCAATGCACAATTTACGCAATTCTATGAGGTCAAATTTTGACCATGAAGTCTACAAAAAACTCAGCTGTCTGGAGATGACGAAGGTAAAGAGAAGTATTTATTATGCAGGTCATACTCAGAAACAACCACTGGACACAACCTTACAAGTAAGAGCATCGATGCCAAGCAGAAATCAATTGCACAAGAGAAGACCAACAAGACTGGATGAGTTACATCCAAGGCTTCTCAGAGAGCTTGTATCCTACGCAGTTGACGAATATTACCGTATGCTCATCAAAATATCTTAGTATGACTGAGCGTGGAATGCACCCGGTAATCCTCGATAAACGCCTTTATACGCCTGTGTTCATAGCCTCTTTCAAGGAAGTCTAACTCGCTGCCTTATTATCAAGAGTGTTCTCAAGAGTGACAGAGCGCTAAAATCGAATACGTGACGCTTATCACCAGATCGGTGGATACGCCTAGGGGATTTAGCAAACACTGATTTCGAACTAAGACTGAAAGCAGACTTTAGGAACCAAAACTGGTGAATGGACCAACTTTTCCTACCAGCAACCCGAGAGAGTGCTCCGATGTAATGCAAATGAAGCTTTAAATCAAAGATTTTGGGGGTTGTGCCCATAAGACAACATTTTATGGAGCTTTTCGGGGTCCGCATGTTGAACCAAGTTTGTGTCTCAGACAAATACTATTTAGACTGTCACTCAGTTTGGGTATATTCCTGTTTGAGTGGAGGAAAGCCATGGTGAGGTCTATACGCAACGGTGACTTCAGGCCACATCCATCAAAATACAGATCAATAAGTCTGACTAGTACTGTCATTGAAATCCTATTAAGGATATATGTATGAATTTCCGATACATAAAAATATATCCACTATCCAATTCCTATTTTGCCTGCATTGATCTATAATAATAGAATGCTTTATGGAATTTTCCTGTGTTCCCAGTTGGAGCGTAATGAGACTTCAGAGAAAAGTTCAGAAAAAATTATTCGGAAATTTTTACAAAGGCAAAAATCAATCTTCTGGTATCAAAGTTTGAGTGCTTTCTCAAAATTTCACCTTCTCTCCCTAAAATTAGCTGTTCTTCACAAAATCTAGTCAATCAAGAAAGGGGAAAAGTGGACAGCTAATGGGAACCTTTAGTCTTTAAAATCAGAGGTAAGTAGACAAGAAGGGGGAAATTATGCAAATTCAAGGATGAAAACGAACAAACGAAACATACTCAGTCACTCTAAGCATATTCGCCCACTAGGCGATGAACCACACCTACTGTGTGAGGGCTGATGAAACCTCAGCAGGCGGCGCCAGATTCGAAACCGTGACCCACTGGTACACAGTCTACTCCCTAAACTAATGAGTCATAGCTCCACCAAGGAGGAAAAGTGAGGGGAGAGAAATTCATTACCCTTTCCCCAACGACTGTCATTCCACTCCACCATTTAGGTCTCTTTCTCTCTCCTTTAAGCGACTTATTTTCCCTTTTTTGATAGACTTAAGAGTTTTATTGTGACAACTGAAACCAGGTATTTGAATACGTCGCAGCTATGGACAATCTTCTACAGTCATTACCACTGATAAATCATCTAACAACTACTAAAGAAAATAAGAAGTCAGCAGTAATAGTATTTTCACGAAGGAAACTCAATTACATGCAATACTGCTACACAATGAAACTAAACAATAGTAGATACGTTTAATTGAAAAAGAGAACAAGAAATTAAGAACTAAATTTATGGGTGATCAAGTAACAAGATACATTCAGTTACACAATACGACTAACACTACAAGATA